GGCACATTTTGAGACTATCCAATTATCCCCTCTCTCTTCTCCCTCTCCCTCACTCTCGCGCTCCGTCACTCGGTGTGTCTCAGCTCTGTCCTTGACCAGCGATGTTACACCATGTGCCAGTGCAGATAATCTTTAATAATTATTGTATAATTCGCCAATCTTGTCACACTGACTGTTCGACTGTACAGGGCACCACTGAAAGCCCCTAACCCTCTATGTCTGTAACGCACGTCCAGTCACAGTTGTGGCATTTAAATGTACAAAATGTACAAAATGATCATTATCATTTATTGCACATGGAAATAAAAAGTATTTTACAATAATCACAAGTCTGTTCAAGCTGTTTAAACTGCTGTTCTCTTTTGGACAAGAACATGTTAACAGATTTAGGTCATTTTTACTTTGCAAATTTTCTGCATTTCTTAACAGCAGTTATTTAATAAAACTAAATAATTCCTGCTAGTGTTTCACAGTAAGAGCCCTTCAGAGAAGTAAAGACATTGGGCTCTTCTCCCTTATAACTTGCCAAGAAAATATCTAATGAAATCTTAGTCAAAACTGAGTTATTAAAAGGATACATGTGATGATCTATATTCATTCTAGTAACGAGTACTTTGAGGACATCCAAAGCCAGATCTATCTTATTTCGCTGTGTCACAAAGCTCCATTGTTTATCCAAAAACTTTCAGCAAGCCACACATTTGTACTGGGGAACTTTTCCTTTCATTGCCACAAACACAGACATTGTTGAGTACTTTCTTTTAACCAAATTCTACATAGACATTCCTAACTTGAGCACCCAGCTTGTATTTATCTGCCAACAAGTCCCCAACAAATACACTGTTCCCTACGGACAAATGTTTACAATAACTCTGCTTTCAAAAAAGGTGATTACACTGTGTGAAACAAAATTCAATGATTTGCAAATGATTAAAAGCCTGTAAGTGATTTAAAAAAGTAAAAACAAAATGTTAAAACTGAGAAACGCTATTGTCAGTGATGTTCATTTTGAATTTTATGCCAGCAAAAATGCTTTAAAAACATAGGACCGGGGGCATGTTTACCACTGTGTTGCATCATCTCTTTTTTTCAAATGTTTTGTCAGCCAAATGTTTTCCAATTTCCAGCTAATGCAGAATATCAGCTCCTTAACAGCTGTCAATGGTTCTGCTTTTCAACAACCTGTTTTGGAGCTAAATATTACACATTTCCCTCCACTACATTTATGCAATGGTTGTATTCACTCATTACCTTGGAGATTTAAGTTTCCCACAGAAAAAGTGACAAAGACACATTTAAATAAGCTGCCGTTTTACTTAATTGCTATTTTGTGCAGCTATTGGCAGTACACTATATAACGTATTCTGAAAAAGGTTCTGAGGGCTTTTATTTTTTAATACTGAAATGACTCGTGCTACTCTACTGGTAATGTGAAATAGCAAGAATTCATGGAAAATGTCAGGGGCAAACGACACTGATACCTGCCCAACGAGGTGGTGTTTAATGCAGTTCATCTGTGGAAGGGGACAGCTGAGGACAAATGCTGGCGAATGTTGCTTAATGCCTCCTGGCTTATGAAGAGAATGGGTGGCGGGCAGTATAAAGGCCGGTATAGGAAGGAAGCTCCCATGTAGGACACACACACACACACACACACACACACACACACACACAGAAGCTGACACAACCAAGAGGCTCACCAAGCCTGAATATTGTATGAGGCGTTCTCATGGGCCACTGCAGAGCGTGCAAACAGAAAGAGAGGTGGACTTATGCATGCACACATACACACTCAAACATAGATACACACACACACACACACACTAATGAACACACAAAAAGAGACAGAATGAGACAGAGTGGCACACTCGAAAACACAAACACATGTACGCACACAAACAGAGCCAGTGGAGCTTGAGCTGATGTGGCCCGGAGCAGCCCAACGCCCAGCCACGACACACACACACACACACACACATGCACTTGCATACACTTAAGAGCCATCTGCAGCTGAAGATACAGCCTACAGAAAGGCTTTACTGCTGACACTCTGAGACAGACAGAAAGAGAAGGACAAGAAAGAAGGGAAAAACTGTCGTGACCGAGTGAATCAGGAGATTAGGAGGAAGCGAAGCCAGGAAGGGTAGAAGGAAGAGAGAAACTGACAGACAGAAAGGTGAAGGGAAAATTATGGCCTCAAACTCTCAGTCTTACCTTCAGCCCACTCAAACACAAAACTGCTTCACCAACACTTTCACTGAGATTTCAGCAATTACTGAATGCAAGCCCTTATTGGATGAAATTCCCCTTAGGAGCATTCTGCTCAGGCCCCAAAGATTTCATGCCTCTACACAACCAAATAATAACCAATAATGACAAATCCCAAATCACAAAACTCAGGAAGTTTAGGAGTATGTTCAGACAAAGTCCCCTTTGTGAAATAAATTAGATAAATCTGTTATTCATTGTATTTTCTTTAGGCTTAGTGTAGCAAGGCTGGCAAATTCCTTTTAGTCCATGTGCGATTTTAGAGTGCTACTTTGGCCATTTCTGATGAGAACCAAATGATCCCATCAACAGAAAAACAGATGGAAATCAGATCTAGTTGAATGTGGAATTTACTTTCTGCTATATATGAAGTAATTCAAGCTTCAAGTATGACCCTCTCTTGTATTCAAGGAAAATGGTTTCCCAACAGTTCTGGTCTGAAAATCTTTTTATAGTCAGAAATTCCTCAAGAAAACTGTTGGAAAGAGGATTTAATCTCACAGCCAGAGAATACTCAGATGCAAACCCAGAGCTGGGACTTTTGTGATCCAGGACCTGAATTCAATCAATGAGTCCTTCAGGTAGGTTCCTACAATGGAAAATAGCGCTCTCCATTCAAAAACACCTTTAGCACATAACTGTAGCTAGCCATTGATTTAGGTGTTTGTGGACAGTTTGAGAGAACTTGGAAAAGAATTACGCCTTAAAGCAGCAGTTAGAGGTCAGATGAGCTTCTGAGCACTTCATAAATCGAATCAAACAATGTTTGCAGCCTGTGGGTTTCTTCCAATAACGTATTTGAAATAGCCTGAAAGAGGGAAATAAAACTCATCATTTGCTGTCAAAGTTCATCACCCCAGGGACACAGGTTGGTATCGCTTGCTTCATAAATGTAGTGAATCAAAAACTAGTGGAGAACAAAAGGTTCGAATAATATTTATTGCTGTAGCATCAATCTCAATTTTATAGGACTACGTTCTGCAATTTAGAAGCAGCTGATAAAAGAGGGAATCACTCCCACTCTATTGTGTTTTTGTTCTCAGGCCATTGCCAACACAAGGTTTTATTCCAAAATCATAAGGGCAATTTGACAAAAAATTCAGATTGGGAAATTGCTGTTGACACAGATCAGGTAATGCTAGTGCCCAACTAATAATGGCCGAAATCCATTCATGAGCTAGCCATCTCATTTTCTCAAACCTTGCTGTTTTGCTGTGTGTTGTTTGAAATACGATTTAGCCCGAGCATTCAACATGACAGTAAAGCCATGGCGGTGACTGCATGTTGACAATGTTTGTGGTTGACTGATCGTGAACTCCTGCAGCAATATTCAGTGAGAAAAAAAACCTCAAAGCCAGGCGAGATCCAGCTTTAAGTCAACGCTCCATATGAAGCGTAAGTGCTGTACTGCAGTGTACACGGCTCGCTGAATCATACCTAACCATCTCGTGTTGAATTCATAAGAGGGTCCTTATGTATAAAAGGGTCAGCAAGGCATGTGAATATGTTCCATGTTCGCCTGACAAGCTCCAGCGAAGCCTTTTCCCACAGGGAGGAAAGACGTTAGGAAGCAAATGGATTCCTATTACAAAAACATAAAAATGGAACTGACGGACTGCCCTCACACTTTCTCTGCTGACCTAACCGTTGACCTCTCTTCTAGTAAATATGTAAATGAACAAAGATTATTTTTCTCAGAAGGTTCTTCCTCTAACTGGTGGGCATTTTATGCTGAAGTGGTTTCCAACTGGTTCTAGGCGTTGTCCTTTGGCTTGTTGGTGTTTTGTTGTTGTTGTCAGAGAGGTCTCCAGGTAACAATACGACCAAAGCCAGAGTGTTAAGGGGGGCGGGGGATAAGACGGGGAGGCCCAGCTGTTCCTATCTCTCTACTCCCATTAAGCTCAAAGGCACCAAGCCAGAATCCAACCATAAACAGCACTGGGACTGACTGGACTCTACAATTCTGAACTGGGCAATAGTAAAGAAATACTAAAATATATGGTTACTTTTCAGTAACAAGGGATTTAAGGAAAGAACAGTGGGTTATAAAAAGCTTTTTAAAAAATGTAATGACACCTCTAAAAATGCGGTGTTCAACCACTTCAGTTTCTTAAAGCCTAATTTATAATGCATAACAATTTAGAAGAAGGTTAGATTGCTACAAACACTGAAGGTTAGTGTGACTTTGGCTTCTTTATAGATTAAACAAGATGTAATATATCACATCAGCTGATTTTTTTTAAGCTAAGCTACCTTAATCACCCTCTGCCTCTAACCTGCCTACAAGTAAACAGGCATGACAGTGATATCAATCTCTAATCTTATTCTTGGGAAGAAAGTTAATCAATACACATCTGAAAATGTCCAGCTTCCCCTTTTAATGACTTGATGTACAATAAACTATGATACTCAAAGCCTTATTGCAACAGAAGGCAACACAGTTTGTTCAGGAAGTGTATCTAGGTCAAGATTACCTTAAGCCTAGCATCTGCTAAAATAAATAAATGTATTAATTAATTAAAATAAAGGTAATCAAATGGAAAAAAAGACATTGAATGGACCTTAATAAAGGTTTAGTCAAGAAGCACCTATGAATGAAAATGTATGGACCAACATCAGAAGAGGGAAAAGTGGACCTTTTAAGGATGTTAAAAAGATTTTGAGGTGTGTTAAAGACTCAGTTGTTTCCTGCTGTTTGACCCACTGCCCTCCCTCCCGTCTCCACGCTTTACCTCGATAATGTCAGCGTTAGTCCGGCTCTCGTGTGGCTCGTTGTACTCGGTGTACTTCAGCAAGACCTTGTCCATGTCAGTGCTGGCATACTGGAACAGCTTGTTGGAGTGGTTAAAGATGATGAGAGCGATCTCGCAGTCGCACAGGACGCTCAGCTCGTAGGCCTTCTTCATCAAACCAAACTTCCTCTTGGTGAACGTCACCTGATGACAAAAACGAAAACTGAGCTGAGAGAGCTCTAACACAATCTTAGTAAAATTATTCATAGTTCCCTAAAACAATTGTAATTTTATAACATTATAAACGACACTCTATTAATGAAGTTAAACTGAAATGAAAACAAGGGCATTATCTACATATTCTGACATTTTATTTCTTGTTCTAAGGCAAAAAGGTTTTCATGGAGCCTCTTGGTCCTGAATGATGGTGTGGGCCACGGAGCTAGAGTGTGGATCTGGCAACAAGCCACAGATTATAGATTTTTAGTGAAAGATCTATTTCAATTTTCACGAGAGGAAAATTTTCTTCAGGGTCTGTTTAGAGTAATGTTCACTTACGAAATTAAAATGTCAAAATGTACAGGTCGCAACCATTTACAAAAAAAGAAAGAAAGAAAGAAAAATACATGCTGATAACCATATTTCTTTCATTCAACCCAAATTACAACCAACGGTAAGACAAACTAGATACTAAACCTAAACTAAAGCCAATATTTTGAAAAGGATGCAGGCGGTGCACATAAGTTCTACTCAGCATTTTTTTTTTTACAAATAATAAATAAAAGAAATGAAGCAAGTGAAAGGAATTTTGTTATTTCAGCTTGAAATACAACAAATTTTGAATGTGTTTGAATAAAAACATATAGATATAAATAAAAAATCTGTTCACCAGAATTAAAAAAAAACTATAATCTGCAAATAAGACACAAGGCGTGATGAAACTGAAAGGAACACACTGGGAAATCTGTCAAATGCTGAGAGTAAAACTGATGCTAAATATGACTGTAGAATAAGCGACAGCTAGCATCTGTCAAAGCTCCCCTAAAGCTCTCTAATTGTCATGTTATATCCAGTTTTATCTGATGAAAAACCAAAGAGTGAAACTGACAACTTGCAGCTTTACAGTAAATTATCTGACCTCACTGTGACTCTCAATCTTGGCAGGAAAGTAAAAAAGCACATTTACGCAAATGTTGAGCTTTTCACCCTCAAGACCTGACTTAATATCATTTTGGACCAGAGCCATTCAAACCAACTTATTCTCAGTTAAACTGAAAGTGTAATTTGAGCTTTTTGCACTTCCAGACTCTAATCACGGCACAAATCGTGCGCTGAAGCGTACGGTTTGTGTATCTGAGACAAAGCAAGACTGACTGCATGGAAGCACTGTGTATTAAACATACAAGATAGAGACATTTTTAGGAAAAAAAAGACTTCTAGACAGAGTGTCTAAACATGGTCTTTCAAGTACTCAGATTGTATTTTGTGCACAGACTTTCACTTCAGTCCGTACACTCCTTTCTCTCCCGTCACACTCGCTCTCTGTCGCTTTCACACTATGATATGCTCTTTTCCATGCTCTCTTTCTATGTCACACACTCTCTCCTGCTCTCTTTTCCGCACTCTCCTTCTCTCACACGTTATTTCTCCCTTTCCCTTATGCACACACACACACACACACACACACACACACACACACACACTTGTACAAGCCCGCTCAGTTGTGAACAAGCTGAACAGAACTGGGAGTGTTGCTAAAGCACAGGGTCCCTTGTTGTCTGCCGGTTGGCTTTAGAAGCGCTTCCCTGCTATAACCAACTGGTATTTACAATCCAGAGAGATTTGGCTTTGTTTGGATTAAACACACAGGATTGCACAAACACAAACACATGCAAGGAGAAGAAGATTAGCAGAAGAAAAAGAAGAAAAGGCTTCAGGTACTGCTACAATATCGAGCATTTGATATGGGAGAAATGGAAATAAAAGTCAATGTGTACACAGATGGTGTTGAAGAGGCAGAAAGATTTCAAGCATGCTGCACTTCAGGCCCCACCCACGAATGACATCAACACATTTTCCATCAGACGTGCAAGCCAAAAACCTGCTGTGACATCAATGATTGTGGCTGTGACCTGAAGTGCAGCATGCTTACAAGTTTCCTGCAGCTTCCTGCACTTTCTTATGTAACCTTAAGTCCTAAAGTCCCTTTAAATCTTTGATTCTTATTCTTAGAAAGCTTTTTGTTCTGTACATCTGGAGATTGGTGATGTTTACTTAGGGAGAGGGAGTCACATGTTTGACCTTGAAGATTTTTAGCTATTTTACGTTAATTTCAGCAATGGACCGATTGCTTTACTTTGTTTGCTTTTAAATTGGAAAAAAAATCAAGAATATTTCTGACATTTTTAATATTTAGTGAAGTGTTTTTACAAACGTTGCACTGATTTCACTGCAATTTTTTACAGATATTCGAGACCTTTAAAAAAGTCTTCATCAAAATTTAATCGCATTTACTAGGCTTTTAAGAGCAAAACTGCAACCCTAATGGAATAACCATCTTCTGGTTTTATGTTTAAGAGTGAGAGTGTTGAGCTGTTTTTGTCCATTTATGGTAATTACAATGCATTATAATATATCTGTTGCCAAATAAACGTATTAATGATATTCTGATACTGCCTCTAGGGTTTACCTGCATTGACAGAGGCCACATTTCTGTGGCAGAAGGCTGCTCCGCTGGCAGCTGAGTTCTGAACTGAAACTATAATTGAAATGAATTGAATACAGAAAGAAAGAGAGAACAGATAGAGTGGTGGAGATAAGATAGAGACACTGAGGATGAAAGCAGGAAAAGCAGCAAGTGAGACCTTCAATCTGTGCATCGTTCTCTCCTACAATCACTTCATCTCTTCCATCTCTTGCTCCTTTCTGCACCCGACATGTTTAAGCCTCCCTCATCCCTCCTTCTCCTCTCTTATTTTCTCGCCCTCGTTTTCTCTTCCTCTCTTCTCTCTCTCTTGCTTTTTCCACATCCTCCCTTCCTCCCTCCCTTCGCACTCGCTCACTCATTGCTTCCTGCTGCCACAAATCAAATTATATCGGGGTCGTATCCATGGGCAACCGACTCCTCTCCTCCCCTCCGCCCCCCATTTCCCACCTCATCACACACTGCTACCATCATCTCACCCCCCACACCCCCTCCCCATCTTTATCTCTCTGCCTATCTACATATCTCTCCACTCCTCTTCCTCTCTTTCTCTCTCTCTGTCTCACACACACAGACACACACACACACAGAATGAGCAGATAAATTATGTGGCGATGTTGGTAAGGGAGGAAATTACAGTTGTGCGGGATGACAAGACTGGTGATGTAGAGAGAAGCCACTGCAAACAACAACTGCTCCCTAAAAAAAAATTATAAGGTCATCCACCAGTGCTTAAAGCAAACAAAATCAGTCCCACATCCCAAACAAAACCTCTGTCCGTCTTTCTTTTTCTTTTCTTAGAAAAAAGTAAGCAGTGGGGTAGTGACTTTCGGCCTGAGCTTCAATCTTGCTGTTTACCACAAAGGATAAACAAGCTGGAGGTAATTGACATTAAGAGCTGAATTGCCAGGTAACCAATGGCAACTGAAGAATAAGACATCCTCAGTGAGAAGAGTAAGAAAGAAAGGGGGCGAGTGGTTTCATTTGAGTGCGTGTGCGTGCGTGCATGTGTCTTGGCGAGGTTGTGGTTGTGTGGCAGATGGATGAGGAAACCACCACTGACAACCACAACCTCCTCTTGCTGTTTCCTGTAGCCAAAACTCTCTCTTTCATTTGCTAGCTTACAGTCTCGCTCACACATACAGTTTGAACAGTTACAAAATAAATTAATTAATAAATACACCGGGTCTCACTATACTAATCAGTACAGGTATGAGTTTTCAAGGATCTACAGAACCATGATATGCTATTTTTATTTTAAAATGTTAAGCGATTCATAGCAAAGTTATTGTAAATAAAACTGTATCTACTGGAATTGCATTTGTTGTGTGTAAATGAGAGACAGAATTGAACTGTAAATTGCCATTACAATATCCTCTTCACTTTTAATTAAGGTGCTCCTCTAGTAATATTTTAATTGCCAAGAACTGTGCTACAAATAAACAAATGAGCAATATAATCAGCTGCTTCTCCAGAGTCTCTCTTGTCCTATGGTATCGCTACACTGTATTGTCCTTCATTTTTTTCACATATGGAAAATGTTGGGAGAATGATGCTGGACCATTGGTCAAAGCTCTGCTTTTCCACAGCACACTGCAGGAGATAGTCCACTTCAGAGAGTTTTTACTACTGGAAATACTGATTTAGGCCAGAACGCCGCCTGGGTTGAGTGTGCAGAATACAATACACACAGTATCCCTCTGCTAGCTATGAATTCACCAAACAACTATGTGTGCCATCGGTGCAAATCGGTGCAATAGCTGACAGGTAAAATACAAAAAAAAACATCTAGTATCTAATATTAGTGTGTTAGAGATTTGTTTTCTCATGTGCTATTCTGTTGAATAATGTCTAGAGAAGTTTAGAGTTACAGTGCATGTGCAAAATTGAATCTTGATCTGCTTTCCAACGTGGGTTATCTCAGCACCGGGGGTTTTCTGCACGTTGGACTACAGTTCACGATGAACTACAGTTCACGATGAACTACAGAACAGGATGAGAGCTACAAATTGCAGTCTAAGAGAGTGGCATTGGATCCATTTATATGCAAGATAAGAAACTCTGTGGAGAATAATTCAAATGGTATCGAGATTGTTCTTGATAGTGCTCGGGTCAACTTGCAGTTAGCTTCTTTCTCTTGCAGCCTCTTCTAGCTCTTTTTGAGGGGAGCACTAAGTGTTCCAAGCTACCCAAGCATGTCTTGGGTATACCCTGGGGTCTCCGGCCAGAAGGACATGCTCAAAAAAATCTCACCTCACAGATGCCTTAAGAGGCTTCCTAGTCCGATGCCCAAACCACCTCATCTGGCTCCATTTAATATGGAGGAGCAGCAGCTCTGCCCTGAACCCCCCCTGAACAACTGAGATCAGTAAGGGAGAGCCCAGACAACTTTCCGAGGAAGCTCATTTCCACAACTTGTATCTCATTTTTTCGGTCACTACCCACAGCTTGTGGCCACAGGTGTGGGTAGGAATGGAGATCAACAGCTTTGCTTTCACAATCACTTCTCACTTCAAGAGAGCAAGCCGATAAAGTGTCCACATCGCTGCGGACACCACACAACAGATTGATGCTTAATGCTTCATAAATCGTTAGACTTTTAAATACTTCTTTATGCATGACTATATTCCAACAACTACTAAAAGTTATCTGTTTTAAAACGTTAATCCTGTGGACTCTCAGTGAATTTGCTATAACTACAACTACTTCAGTTAGGAGACTTATTATTCTTCAACAATGGGCTACACTTGGAAAAAATCTAGATCAGCTGAAATGCTGAAATTCAACTTATTTAACAGTGAAAGAAAAAATTCTGCACAATTACCTTTTTCCCATTCACAGATATTTTAAAACATATTTATTGAATGCTGCTTCAAGGCTCATAAGCTGCACAGGAGATTTTTTCATGTGTAAAAGATCATGCACATTCAGAAACATGGCTTAGAATTCTATGTTTTGCTAGATGGAAGCAAAAAGCAAATGCTCAACTTTGTAGAACAATCTTTAGCTTGGATAAGTTCATGTTCAGATTTTAGCTGAATTATGAATGTATGCATCAAAGCTGTAAAGTTGGCTGGGGGGTGCCGCTGAGGATTAGTTTACACCTGACTCATATCTATTTTCTTTCTCTACAGATGGGTATGTGAATTCCCACTGGAACATTTTGCAGGAAATTGCCCCGATTAATTGATCTACGGGCCTACAATTAATTCAACAGCTATGTTAAACCCCCCCAAAAAAAATTAATGGCACGACAAGCTTAAATTAGTTTACTTTTAGACTCAGCGACAATACAGAAATACTCATTACAATGTGCTAAATCTGTATCAGGAGCTGGTTTAAATATTAAAATCAATAAATATTTGCATGAATGTAAAGAAGTGCTTTGATGTGTCTAATAGCTAATCATCTGAATTAACCATAAACTGATAAAATCCCATTTGCTTACTGCACATGCATGTTTTATTTAACAGTTTCTAATCTGAATGATCAGAAAATGCTTAGCAATGGGAGTTGAGGCACAAGGGTTTTCTTAATATTTAAAACTACACATCACAGAGACGTCTGTGAAATCACGTTTTCTCCAATCAGTCCGGTATGATGGACTAATAATAGTGACACTAAATGCACGACTACAATACTCATTAGACTTAACAAAGAAAAACAGATGGAGGAGCAGTATACTGGACAGCAAGTGCCCCAAAATCTGATGCAAAGCCAGAATCAAAATATCATCTCTAACTTTGGGGGCAGTGTTAGCAAAACAAAAACATAAATCTTAAGCGGATAGTTTATACTAGCATCCCTGGAGTAATAGTTTTCAAGTGAGTTTTCTTGTTCCTTGAAATTTAATTTCCAAAACAACCCGATGATGAATGTAATTCTTGCATTGCACTATGCACTACAGCTGTTGCTTAACATAAATCTGATTAGCGATTCGGGATTCTTTGATTTCTGGCAGCGAATCTTTCTTCTTCTTGCATCTTCTTGCTAAAATGGGTCACAGTGTTAATGAAAAGTCAACTCTTTCTGTGTTGTCTTTGATGTGACAAACACTCTTCCATAAAAAGAAATAAACAAATAAATCAAAGCATTCCAACATGCCAGTCCTGTTCTTTTTCATGCGTCTTTGTCTTTGTAAGAAATGTGGTATTTGAGATGTTGTCATGTTTCCAGCCGGGGCCCACACTCTGAACGCTGTTTATTTTGCAGAGCTTATGGCAGCATCTCTGAATCAACATGTAGGAGGGTGACGGGCTGCATGTACTCCAAAAATTCATTTGATTTCCTTTCAGAAGCTGCACTGTTCATTAGCTGAAGCAACACAGAGAAAGCATCTAAAAACCACTTATTTCATAGTCTGTTCCATATCAAACACTAAATGTCATTGAGAGAACAACTGAATCCTGCTTTACTGTGTCAACTGCTCTCACTGAGAACATCAGATAAACAAGAAAAAAAGGGGGGGGGGAGAGAAGGTGAAATGTAAATGCTCGCTACAGCTTCGGTTCGATATGAGCATCAGAATGTCATCACGCTGACTGGTGATTAGGAAACCATTTTCTGCGGGGAAATCGCTTGATCGCAGTCAATGATTAATTTGGGATTGTGACATTATGATCATGTATTACCACAGAGTTCATCACCTTATTGATAAACTGTTCAACGCCTGACACAAACGCTGGCTGCTCGAGCAGAAACAGCTACAACCCATTCCTCCTTTATGTCCAATTGTGTACTGATGAATAACAAGTCATCATACTTCACCGACCCCCTGCAGGCACTGCTTCCTCTTCTTTATCGAAACGCAACCTGCTAAGATTGATGAGAAGAAAACTGAGGATGATTTTTCCAAACCCTACGGCCACCTCGCTTTTACGCTGCTCGGGTCTTATTCAGTCAGGCACCTTGTTTCTCTCCCTACGCCTGTCTCCATCTTGTTTTTCTTCTCTCTCTGTTTTTGAAGGTGGGCACGTCAAATCCATTACTCAATCTGCTCAATGGAGCGAAGCCCATTTACCAGTTGACTCATTTTAGATGGATCATTTACCCTTTCATCCTCTCTGACAATGCCACTGATGTAACCAGAGGGACTGAGTCTGTTTTTTGGGGAAATATCATACTTTTTTTTTTCTTGCCTTTTTCCACTGTAGGAAGGGGAGGTGTCAGAGAAACCCCCCGACACATATGAGCCTCATAAAACACAATGCTATTATACTGTTCTGTTGTGGCACTCTTGAGAGAGCTGCAACTATGTTGTTCATGCTACATGGGACGTATGAAAAACGGAAAGGATCCCTGTGGGAATTTCTTATTGCCTGAGCTAAAGTATTCTGTCACCACAATGGAATTCAGTGCTGGAAAAGTGAAAACGATCATTTCTTTCTTAGATCTGAGCAGGACAGATGTGAGCTATACAGAGAAATCAGCTCAGTGAAAGCCTGCATCTGCTGGCTATATATGGGTCATTTAACACTCCCGACTGGATCGTGAAGTTTAGCTCAGAAATTAAACAAATATGTGTGTGGTTGTTAATTTTGTCTTTAGCCTTCAGTGTAACCATTTAGCTACAGCGTAGCTAATGAGTGCATTAACAAAGTTAACAACAATGTCTGGACTGTGTGCTGCCTGTGTTTTCTGCTGCACGTTTCTCAAGCAAGTGGAAACTGAGACTGAAGAAGATAAAGTAATGACACAAACTGTCCCACGATCACTCCAGATGGGTCAGATACAACTGTCTTGTGGTACAGTGGTGCTATCAGCAGAAGAAATACACACTCGGTGACATATCAAAGTCATCTCGTGCTGTCTGTGCAGAGATACTTACCCCTTTTTAACAACTGCAAGGTCTAGCTTTATTATAAATGTACATCATAATGTATAAGCTGTGCAATTCATTTCTTATATGAACAACATAATGTCTATAGCAATGGACCACATTTGCAAACAAGCTATTTAATGTGTTCATTTTATATTACAAGTTCCTTACAATAATTATGCCAGTTTTTATGAAATTAAGCTCCTGAAAAAATTAAATAAAACTCAATATTAAATCTTGATTACCTAACACTGCATGACATTTATCATATTCTTCACTACAAGGGTGTTTGGGATTTCCTTATGCATGCACATGAAACAGGGTCAATACAGGATTCATTTTCAAATACCACAGGACTGATCCACAAATCCAGCTATTTATAATTATCCAGCTACTTATATTAACTTTGTTGAAAACTTTAGTTCTTTAATTTCTCTAATGGTTTCTGAAACAGGAAAGTTTAACAGGAGTTACTTTCCATATCATGACAGTTCAGGTCATTTGTTCTAACCTGTTTGTTGCGTTCGTCAGTGATCCTCTGAATCTGGATCTTTTTCCTCCCCATGGTTCTGGTGTTGCAGTGGGAGGATCAGGGGAAAGTGACAAGATGTGAGGTCACGGATGGCTGCTGTTACTTTTCCTCCTCTTTGAATCTCTATTCGCTTTCAGTTTGCCCTCGCTGTGCACACTGACCCTGTTTGAAGCACCCGGGCAGGGAGGCTTTCACCAGCAAGATAGAAAAAAAACAAAAACAAAAAAAGAGGGAGAAGGAAGAAAGGAAGAACGGGGCTCTGTGTACAGCACGCTTTTCAGATCATGGTCCTGTTTCTGGGGGCAGGTCATCCACACTCAAGCTGAACTAGGATCTTCTGCCCTCCCCTTCACCTCAGCTGGGCAGCTTCTGGAAAACAACACAAGAGACATTTATCAGGCTGAGAGAGACAGAGATTCTGAAAAGGGCAAGGAGAGCGAGGCTTTGTTTGTATATTGTGACCTTATTTAGCTACTACAAACCCAACATATACACGAGAATAAATGATGCAGCAATCCATTTGAGGCACCATCAAATCAGAAGCACATTTGGCTGAAATGAAGAGTAGGTGAGGGGGGTGGGAGTGTTTGTGGCTCTACATGCAGAGCAAGAGGCCCTCAGGGGCCCGCGAGTCGGGAGGCTGTGCTGTGTCAGCTTCATTAGAGGCATCACCGCCACATCACTGATCTGCTGGTCGCCCACGGCAACCGGCTGCCCGGCCCAGGCCGCCTGACACGCCGAATGTGAATCCCCGATCAGAGGCACATTAGAGAGTCTGCGGTTTCTGCTCATTTCCCATTTTCAAAACACCGTCTTATGCATTGATCATTTCTCTACAGGAAGCTCAGTAGTGACAAGACAATATGACGATCTGCACTATGCTGAAGGGAATTATTCTCCCTTTAAATCCATGAAATATCCATATAAATAATCAATGTGGTTAAAATGCAATTTTCAGTCTTTTCAAACAGATTTTCTCCCGAAAGATACCCGACACATCTGCAAACAAAATGAGTGGGCAGATCTCCAGTGACACTTCATATTTAAAAGACGGGATGGCGAATGTCATTTTCTGACCATTAATATCATTACGCCTTATTACCTAAACTGAATGCTGACCTAATTCCATGCAGAACAGCGAAAGATGACGAGTGTAAAAACGTGTGTCTAATTCACTCATACGTCTAACTAACCATGAAATAAGGGTGGTCTGGGATACGCTACGGTGCCTGATCAAAAACAGAGGATGGGTACATCACGAAGTCCATATTTTAAAAGGGCAAGTCAGAGCGAGAAAGCCCAGAGTGTTTCTGCAAATTCATGCAAACTCATGAATGAATGAGACGGCAGCAGCCCAGGAATGGCAACAGAGGCAAAGACCGTTTTAGGCCCTGTTACTACTATTTACGGTTCATCTTTAAAAATAGCGTTCTATATATATACATACAGATTGTGTGGACACACAGCACAGCCTGCACGTGCGCACACACACACACAGTGGCAGCCAAGTGGCAGAATTACAGAGCTAAATCATCTGGAAAGCAGCAAGTACACACATCAGGTCCGCAGCATTGTTTGCATTCCCTCTACCTGGGAGAGCAGCAGCACAAGAACACCCTCTATTTACATCCATTCTTATGAAACAAAGAACGTGAAATAGTCTGTCATGAGACTGACATTCCTTTTGTGCTGCTGTGGGAGCTGCACTGCATGCTCGTTTAGAGAGGATGCAATTGGCTTAGCTTTGGAGATGAGTTGCCTATGAATTATGCACTGATGGGAAAGAGTGGAAGGGGGCTGAAGAAAGAGTGTTATGAATGTCATAATTGCTTTGTAAAAAGGCTTGATGGAGAACTGGAGGCTGCCTGAGCCCGATTTTTTACACTAAGCATCTACAGTGAGCTGCAGGAACTGAATGTATTATACTGGCAAGATCTTTCACATATTTTGTTCCAGCCCCTTAAACAAAATTATTTTATAAAAATCCATCTCATCCGCTTTCGTTCATCCTCATCGTCTCCATTTTCAGTATCACCAATTTAACAGGAAACTAACTAGCAAAGGATAATGAATTCTACCTGGATCACCTAATTAGTGTACTCCTGGAAAGAGGAGTTTCTTAATGTTGCACATTCATTCCTTTCATTCAGCTTCAAATGAAGGAAAGTAAAGAAGTGGTGGCGAAACATTTTAATAAAATAATAGGGTGTGCGTTCATTCTCTCTTTGTCAGCCACAGAGCGAGTAGGGGACTCACTGCAGTTGCAGTGAAGTTCAAAGGCGGCAAACTGAGGGATTTGTCTTTAGGCTGTGGGCTGATCACACATGAAAAGGCTGCTTTATCTGCCTGGGGTGGTCAAGTCTCGACCTTTTACCCTTCATGCTGCTGCAGCTCGCTTCCCATGTCTGATGTCAGGCAGAATCTCTGCTCTCACATGGGAAGCGGAGAGCCTGGAGTGTGTCTGTTACTTCACTGAGCAGACACGAGTGATAGAGAGGCTCTGGACAATGAAAAGATAAACACTGATAATTAGGAATCTACCGTGGACCCAGATTAGCACCCTGGGGAACGCCTAATGCGTTTATATGCTTTATTCCCCAAGAGGCCATTGAAAGGCTAGTCTTTAACAATGTATTATGGTTGGAGGTAGGAAAACTGAATAAAAGGAATATAGAACTTTTAAGGAAACTGCAATCATTGAAAGTACAGCTGTGCTACATTTCTATAGTTTTTAAGCACAAATATCGGCTGTTCAGGTTTGATGAAAAATTCATCATCTCTTTAGATAAATTGGGCAATTTGAAGTTGATAAAGCTCTGTGGCTTCTAATGCGAGATGTTTTCATACACTTTGTACCAAAGCAGAGACGCCCACACAAGAAATCTAGAAATGAAAAAAAGTGTTCATACAAGATGTCAGTTCTTTTCTGTTCTTCTTAATTACATCAGTTTGGGGTCGTCTTCAGTGTCCTTTGAAGATGCACACTACATTCTATAGTATGTGACAAAAAAACCCCACCAGCCTCAAAATATCTGACAATTAAAAAAAAAAAAAGTAATCCATTATAATGTGCTGTTTCAGACAGACAAAAAAGGCACAATGCAGAAAAGTAAGCCAACTGAGAATCTGGTCATCAAATTCAAGAGCCTTAAGAGAGCATCATAAAGAGCATAAAAATGAAAAATACTGTTACTGTAGAAATGTGTCAGCTAAGCTCTAGCGAGGGCACATCAGGTCACAGCCTTAGGACAGTCTGTAACAAAGATTAGTCCATAAAAAGAATGGTTAGAAAATATTGCAGTGCATCACCATCCCTGACATCTACTGCTATGGCTGTTAAACATTTCAAAGCATCAAATCTTCTATTCCAATGATGTGGGTGGAAACCCACGAGGTACAGGGGCTATATTATGATTTTAACATTTATTCATGAGGAAAAAGTTGACAAGAATGCTCTATTCTGCAATAACTTGCTTCACTTTTATGCAGAGCCGTAGCTGGAAGCTTCCTGGTGCGACTGTCTTTTGCAGTCAGACAATAAAAAAAAAATCTTCCTTTGGGCAATCAGGGGTTAAATGACTTGCTAAAGGGCATGCCATCCAGATTTTCCCAGCCAGTCAAGGTTTGTGAACTACTGACCTTCCTTCTGACAACCTGCCTGGCTGCCCCCGAGGCTAACACTGCCCTCGATATTTCTGATTCAATACGACCAATGTTTCTGCTACGGGCTTAATGTGCCAGAACCTGGAGGGAAAGAGACACACTTGCATGCCACAAAATGTAGCAGGAAAAGAGGGTGTTTGGGTAAAACATGATCTCTGTCAGTATAGCATTCTGTTGGCTTTTACGATGGACGATATGATGTAATCAGATGATGATGCATCTCTGTGTGTGCACACTAAAGTCTGACAGCTACTGTGAGATATTTGGGTCAGAAATGAGTGATAATTCAAGCAGAACAAAACCTGAAACAGGACAGTTTTAATTAAAATATACTACGAGTCCTTTATTTCAGCAGTTTTTCCCTGTTGCTATGGGTTCATGGCACGGGTTTTTTAGTGTCGCACTGCAACCTGCAATGTCAGCTAATAACTACAAATGTATGTTATATGCTATTTTCACTAGTGTGAATGAACATAGACTGCGTGGCATGCAAGAAAATGCTAATTTAGACATTGCCCCAACTTGACTCTTATATCATTGTACTGAGTTAATTTGCAAAAGTGAGTTTGAGACAGAATAAGCCTGGTTAAAAAGAAACATGATGATCCTAAGAAAAGTTCTAAAGTTATGAGCATTGTTTTCCCCAATGATCTTTAAGCTGGTGAATGTTTACTCGCTCATAATGAACAGAAAATACATTAGTCATTAAGCTTAAAACATTTTTGGGGGAAGGTTATCGGTATGCCCATATGATAAATCTCCAGTACAACACTAGCGCGTCTATATTGGTCAGGCCTGAGTATTATCTGTCTGTGTGCTTGTCTGTGTTTATGTGTGTTTTCCTGTATGTCCATTCTTTACCATCCTGGTGTGTAAAGTGGCAGTGGAGCAGCCTGGAGCAAAGAGATAACAGTCAGCGGTAGAGGGTTGGCCGTCAGGGGGAGGAGTAGCGGTGGTGGTGGTGAAGATGGTTCTCGGCTGCTGGAGCCTTGCCAAAGGACTACAGAGAAATCCATTACTTTTCCCACTCAGCACCAACATCTGCTAAAGCTGATCGCAACCAGCTCCACTGCAGACACCCACTATGCGCTGTCCTTTCGAGCCCAAGCTATGATTACACCAACCTAGACTAAAATCAGTTTCTAACGCTTTATGGACAGAAAGCTGCCGATGTCATGGGAATTGTCTGAAACCTATATGTATGTGCTTATACCAATTGTAATGAGGGTCAATTTAAATACCCAGCAGATGTATAACGTTTAATGGTTATGAAAAAACTGGCACAAATCCAGGAGTTAAACCAGCACAAAATTGCCCCCGGGGACCAATTTCACCCCGGGAATTAAATTAGGTTTTAAAACCGGGCGTTTTTGACTTTAGGGCCCAGTTAAATTAAATTTAAAAAACCCAACAACACTGGCACAATGTTCACACAGTTGTTCAAAGAAAATTACTGAGGCAATAAACTCTCTTATTGTCGAGAAAAAGCATCCATTAAAGTTGCTAAAAAATGTATTTTTCAGACAACAGACAGTGACCCTGAACCGAGGTCCACAATCACCAGCCAGTGGCATTTAAGTGAAGAATACATAATCCAAAAAAATGCCCCATGAATCACCGGCTGCTGTTTACCAATGTTGATGTAGCTGGCACTTTGGGGAGGTTCATGTGACTCCTGGCTAACAACACAAAGTGGAACAGTATCAGGTGTTTTAAAGCCACAGTCAAGAAACACAAATTTTCAATAGTGTAAAAGATTCAATTCAAATTACACTTTGATAACTCTAACTGATGCTGGGATTGATAGTCAGTTTGTGTCAGACAGGGCTGTCTGGTCAATTGATGTCAAATGTTTTGTTTTTTGGTCTTAAAATAAGTTTTCCCTCCTGACAGGAGGGAAATGGTGGCAAATGGTGGCTGGCACATCACCAGCCACCATTTACTATGCATAATATGCTGACTATAACAGAGTACCTCATACAACTAAACTTAAAAAGAAAAAAAATCAGTAGAAAGCTAGGTATCACAAATTGCTCTCTGTGGTACAGCTTACGTGAAAAGAATCAAACCAGCAAACTTGTTGGTTTTTGCAGTCACTGGCAAAAAGATACATGATCCTCTAAAGGAAGCTAAGCTAAAGTGCACTATCAGTAACAGTGACCGTTTGTCATGATATAAATATAAGAAAATTATATTGACTGCTAATGAAATATATAAAAAATATCATTTAGCAGGCCCTGCTGGCAAAATATCACAGACATAGCCTAAATAGCTGCACAGGAGTTCAGGGCTTCATGTTTCAAGATGTGTGCAGTTTGCCTGGATATAGCTGTTGAAGTCATGACCTCTGCACCAGGCTTGGAAAATGACTGATCTGTGGCTCAGTTTGAGGCAGACATGGATCAATAATGTACCAATATTCATTTATCACTCAAGGTTCCATCAAAATAGGTCTGACAAGTTGGACAAAATACAATTTGACAAATGATCCAATCAGATGCTCTGTTCAACTGGGAATCAAATGAAATCAAATCAGCAGGTGTCTGAGGCGGTCTTGCACCTGTGGTTTAATTTGACCAAAAACAGAAAAGATGTAGCAGACTAGAAGGGTGATCAATATGAACATGCTCTTCTGCCTCATTAAAAACACAACGACCAGAAATAAACTCTCCAGTGTTAGGGGCATTTAAAGGTTGAAGGTTAAATGGCAGGCTGAGCTCAAACCAGTGTTAATCGGTTGATTAATTTGTAAGCTGAAAATTAATTTGAAGACATTTCATTTTTCTTGCACAAATGAAAAGCATCCATTGGGATTCTAACCACTTTTCCCCCCTGGTCTTTTCCAGCCCCCCGTCTTAATTGCAAACACATATAGGCACTGAGACACTGACATCTTGAAGGCATTAATGCCAAGGTTCATGCATTGCACACCAGCTTCAAGATGCATTACAATAATGATTCGGGTTTTGTAAGAGGAGGAGGAAAAGAAGAAGTCTAATAGATTTGCTCCTTGCTGGGAAACAGATAGAACCATCAGTGGGGCTGAGAGTGAAGGGTTGGGGGTTGGGAAAAGGTTGGCGTGTAACTGGGCCACTGAAAATGTGACCCGGCGAGCCCAACCTTGAGGGTGTTCTGCCAGCACCAGCTGTGTGATATTTACAGCCTGTTGCCTCATGTTCCCGGGCAACTGTTGGACACAGCTCCCAGCACACTCAAGCTTCAGATCACCCAGCATGCATCTTTACAATATCAACAAAACCCTATGGCTGATTTTGTGGAATATCAGCAGGTGGAGTAAAGGGAGGGCATGGTGACAAATAGTGGAGGAGGAGAGGGAGATGGACGAGGAGGAGGGAGCTGCTGGCCTCGTATCTGAAGCCTGGCTTATGATTGTGATTGTGCCTGTGCTTCAGCGCTGCCAACCCTGGCAGTGGAATATGATCTCCCCTTCCCCCTTCCCCCCTCTCCTCTTAACCAATCATGGGTGAGACTTTAGAGAGGTGGGAAAGAGTGGGTAGGGCTGATGCAGTGCAAGGGCAGCACTTCTGAGGTGGTGGTGGTTTGGGGCAAGAGATGAGATGGGATGGGAGGGGTAGTAAGAAGATCTGTGCCTCATGGCTTGTGAATCACGCCCGCACTGCTGGGTCGCTATCAATACTGCAGTCTGACCGAGCACGTACACACACTCCCAAACACGTATACAAAAAAAACCAAACAACAGCACGCACAAAAAGAAAAAAACACACCTACGCACTTAACACAGGGCGCCCTAACTGTCACTGATCTGCTGTTTGTGCTCATAGCCTCTGGCATGAATACAGCAAAAATATCCCGACAATACCCATAATGCACGTATATACTGTATGCGAGTGCAAACACAGATTCACAAAGATGTCTTTTTTGCTGAAGTTTAGAAACCATGTGGCGTATAGGGGACTTGTTGGCAGGCCATACAATACTTTAACTGTAATTTGTTGTTGATCTGAGACCTGCCCCTGTCACTGTATCACCAACATGGACAATGCGGTTTGGCCTGTTGGGTTACATCATGACCAAAAGATAAAAGCTCCTAACATGCTCAGGGGCACTCCTGTCCCTGAAAGGTGTGGACTGATTAGAGGAGCCAGAGGTAGAAGTTTAAAATGATAAACTGTAACCGCGTGAGAAGAACTGTGACAAATAGGAAAAATGTGAAACCGTTTCTTGATTAGAAATCCTTCAGATTATCTAATAAGGGCTTGAGGCATTTTTTTAAATGTATTTGAAGAGCTGCTGTGGCCTTGCATGTATAAGAGGTCACTACAAGTTCTAAAGCTTTCCTGCATCGATTTAAAGGTGCATTACAGTCACTTAAAGTAAATCGAATCGAGTCTTCTAGATGCTTTTTCAAGACCTGAAACCGACGTCTAAAATCTCAGCTAAACATGCCATTGATGGTTATTTTTGTTTGATCAAATAACCTTATCTAAAATGAGTTAATTAATCTTCAGATACGTAGTGCTTGGAGATACTCTAATGTGCATAATTTGCTTCTTCTTACTGTTTGTGTAATTGTAAGTTGGATATATTTGTTTTTCAGACATGATAATTTCCCCTCAGGCTGAGAACTCCTGTGATCATAAATTTCTTTATTTACTGACAGTTTTAGGACATAAAAAAAATGACATGATAAACTTGTATGATAATGACTAAATAAACAACTAATCAATCAACACTGTGCCATTACATTGAACTAGCTCTTACATACAGTGTTTTGTTTTGTTTTTTTGGATCACAGCAAATTAAACAGCTGCAAGTTGATTTATAAATGAGAGTTATTCTGGCAGCGGCAGTATTTAATGAATTTATTATTCATTCAAGTACTACCCATTACGTTGGGCTTTGTTTGTCTTTGAGATCAGATCATTTATAATCTATAATCTGCCTCATTAGGGCAAATAGTTTTGAAATGCAACTCTTGAGATGTCTGGTGGAATCCAGGTTTCCTCCCTGAAAGCTTTTCCCACCGTTTCAAATGTGCTGCGGCACAATAACAAAAGGTATGTGACAAAGAAGAACGCCCGCCAGACAAAACACTAATGACATCAATGTGACACTCGAGGACGAAGGGCGTGCATGCCCGAGCCAGCGTGCGTACGATAGTTTGACATCACTAGTCGAACATGTTTTCATCAATGGGACCTTATGCAAGAGCCAGACAGGTAAGATCAAGACAACCGGCTGGCTCTAACACATAGTGCTTTAACGCAAGTGCTGTCAGGTTTATTTTCATGAATGCAGGTGAGTGGGAGGAGGAATTCTGTTTTTTTTTTTTTTTCAGCACGAAAATACCTACCTATTTTTATCATCCACCACAAACGTTATGTTTATTTATCTGTCATTAACTGTGTAATGTGGGCACCGCAAGTATGCTAAAGGTATTCAGTAATAATAAACACTCCACGGAGTGTGGCGCACACACACAAACACCACTGTTCTAAGAAGTAACTGTAGTCCTTTCAACAATTTCACTCTCCCTATAGAAAACATTTTTGGTAACAGATATACACAGACTCAGTCATGATTGCTTTGCTTGTGTGTGTGTGGTCATTAGAAAGCACAAGCTCCTTCAGCTCAGAGAGGCATCTTTCAATCTAGTCACAGGAGATCGAGCCAGGTCGGCTTTGTTGTCAAGAAACCTTTCAAAACAAGTGCGGAGCAGCTGCTTGGAGACCTGCAAGTCCATCCGCTCTTGTTCCGACTGGTTTAAAAAGCAGAAGGCACCAATGCAACTCAATAAAACTTGTAGAAATGAGAAAAAAACATCATAACCATGCTGAGAAAGGAAAACGTATTTCCTGTCATCATCCCAAAATTAAATGATGATCACTATGGAGCAACCAACAGCAGTGCAGCGCACGATCCATGTAATAATCGCCCATCTGTAGAACAAGACCCTTCAAATTCCTGATGTAATTTCTTTTTCTACAAACAACACAAAGGCAGACAAATCAATTTAAGCCTGGAAATCAAAATAAGCCTATTATCTCTAGGATAAAACAACCTCCTGCTATTAACCTTGTGTTTTTCTTTTCTTTTTTGGGAAAAAGCACAGTGAAAACCGGGTAATCGCAAATGTTAAAGAACCCCAGCAGCTGTATTCAATGCGATATATCTCACCATACGTAAAGTGCAGAACATAGTTTTAACAGGTGTCAAGGGCACAAGCGTCATGGCACTCAACTCACCATTAATGGTCATGTAAGCCTTCAATTCAAGGAAGAAAAAGAGCAGGTGTGACGTTATGAGCTTCGCAACAACACAAGCTTTCGACCATAAATCACTACAACAGACCCTCCCTCCACTCTTGAGCCTCTCTCAGCACATTTGGGACTTGGGTAGATGTCAGTTCAGCAGCTGACAAAGGACAGCCGGCCACACAGCAAGTCACCTCGCACTCTTCCATATCTACCTCGTAAGGACCTACTGATTGCTTCCTGGACTGATTAGAGACCCGAGAAATCTCTGAATGTTCATGAAAAACGTTTTTTTCAGAACTTCAGCTAAAACGTGACTTTTAAACAGAGACGAGTTAATGTGAAATCTTAAAAGAAAAAAAACGACTTTTGCTCTTCATGGTTTTAAAAAACATAGCATTCCATTTCACATCAAATCAATTTAATCAAACCAACTGTAACATCTCTATCGACTGCTCTTACCAGCGAAGATTTTTGGTGCCAAAAAGTTGTTTTGGAAGTTCTATGACACAGCAGAAAACAAAACACAATGTTGAGGTCAATAGTTCCAAAGTAGTCCAAGTCAAAGATTGCAGAGGTATACAAAGTCCTGAATAGAAAGAAAGTCCAGCTTAGAGCAGCACATGTGCCACTCCACCCACCATCGACTGCCGAAGTGACAACTGCTGGTGGAACACCTCACTCTGGACGCCCCAAATTACCCTTCTCACTGGACCCCAAGCACCACCAAGCCCCCTCCTCTGCTGCTGCTTCTAGTCACTCTACCTCACTCCTCACAATTAAACAGTATACTCATCCCCCTCTCTACCCATAAACCCCTCCCAGGTCACCCTTTGCCCTAATATGCCTTCAGCAACTGCCACCAATTCATCATAGTCTATGTTAGCAAATGAGGTGTGTGTTGGTCAGCTCTTTAAAGAATTTTTTTTTTCCACATTTCAGCACATTTACTGCAAATCCTTGCATTTCCAATTGTTTAGTAGGTCAATATTTAACTTTATTGAATTATAACTAATTGAACAATTATTTTTCAGATTATTTTCTAAATATAAATCTCATTCCTTTAAGTTTAAACTGATAGTTAAAATATGAAACTTGACATTATATGCCACAGCAAAAAAAAAACAAAACAAAACAAACAAAACAAAAAAAACAGTGCAGTACACTATCAAAAAAAATCTGCATTTTTGCTCAGCATAAAATTATTATTATCTCATATCTGATCTGATTATTTTACTCAAACTTTCACTTTAATGATCATCACAGCCAGACTGATCTGCTCCACTATGGTAAAATAATACAGTGAGATTGTTTGTTGGCAGTGCATGAAAGACAATAAAACTGAGAAATGCCCCCCCCCAAAAAAAAAACATGTTGGAATGCTGAAATTGTCAGCTGATAAATGCAAAAGTTAATAACTTGTGTTTTGATAACTAACAACCTAATTTTACTAAGCTTCTGACATAGTGTTTATTGTAATTCCCAGTTTATAGGCTAAACAGAATATTGCTATATGTATGTGTCCCAAATGAGTAAGGGAGTCATTAGCTGCCTAACTGAGGGTGTGAGATCCTTGTTGCACACCAGTCTATCCCTCGTGCACGTGTGTCTATACATCTTCCATTTGGATCATGAGCTGCTAGCAACAGGGTGGCAGCTGCCTACATACCTTTTGATCCTCTGGACTCTCTGAGGACCCCACCCCCCAAAAATCTGGACACTTACACACACACAAAGGCAATGCAATGCAATACACACATATGCTCGAATGCTCAGCTGTCGGAGAATTCAACACACCGGTAATGTCTTGTGCCCTTCTGCCCTACCGTTCAATATGCGATTTTGAAATTCTGCTGTTAAACAGCTACACTGCAACATCTCCACCTCCCCGTCATCTCCAATGTGGACCACTGCTGACGGTTCTGATCTGATGCCATATCCAAATCCTAGAAGATCTGATCTTGGTAAGATACGGTTGTTTGACAGCGACCACTGTAAAAGGAGCGCTTCGCTCTCTGTGACTTTTTTGCAACAGCGACTCTGCTTCCCAAGACATGAATCTCAGCCCGTGCCCTTTCCTGACCTTGAAATCTCCAAAGGGGGGCCGGAGGGTGTGGGAAATGGGAGGCCAGGAGTCTGCTAAACAGTTGTGTCATTGAGTTTCCACACACAGTGAATACATGTATGGGTGCAGGCACGTATGTGCCAAGAACCCAACGGGTTAAGCAAGGGGCAAAAATTCCAAAGGCCATATTCATCTTGCAGCAGTAACTTATATGGATAAATCTGTAAGAGGAGAGAAGAAAAAATGTTTTCCCTTTGTGTATCTGGAGCAGGAAATCTGCCCATGGTTAGGAAAATATACACCACTACTAAACCCAACAATCCTAATGTCAGAGTATTGAGGGCACAATTACTTCGACAACAAACACGGTTGCTCAGATGGCCTTATCTTTCTGCCCTGTTCTCCAGGTTTTTCCCCCGCTTGCCATCCACATTTGTCATCCGTGTGCACGACTGCCTGGGGGCTCTCCATGTTGAACACACGGTGTTGGCCCGGAGCCTAAAATGGGGATCTATGAGCCTACCTCCGCTCTCACTGACAACTGACTGCAAGCGCGGGCCAAGACTGTGTGGTGCTGGCTACATGTGGTGGGGATCCGGCACTGAGGAGAGGTGGGGGAGGCACAAACACTAAGCAAAGGATATCTATTCTCTCCTCTTTAGCAGAGCAGTAAAAGAAAGCAGCTCCTTTGCCCAGAGGCAAGTGTATTTATGTTTAAAGGAAACACAAAAGCATATAAGCTTCAGCTCTTGCAATGATAAACATCCATCCATGTAACTGCAAATCCTTGGAACAGCTGCAGAGAAGGCAAAAAGATTTGTTTTTGCGTATTGTTCAATGTGAAAGGTGTGCCACCTGAGTGATGTGCTATGACAAAGAAAAACTCAAGAGGTTTTGTTGAAGACAAGCTTATTTGGTACTTTGTCTTTGTACCAAATGACTAATAGGTTTGTGAATAAGCATGATATGCTTTCAAGGGTCTGACAGTGAATACCCTGATTATGCAAATCTGCCTCCCTCCCGAGGATGGGGTAAATTAAAAAAAAATGACAAAGCTTTTCTTTGGTGTGGCACTAGTGTGAGCTATTTTCTCGCATGTGACCTACATTATTAAGGAATTTTCCACATTTTCACATCCTTACGACAAATCTCACAGCATAATAAAGCTCAGAAGATGAACATTTCCAACAGAATGTACTCATCCAAACAATGAGGCTGTCTAATTACTCCACATTATCTGTGCCAGCATCCAGAGCCAATCTTCGTTTTACTTACATTTCATGTTAGAAATCTAGTGATTTCAAACCAGCAGGTTTTCAGATGCCCTAAAGCATCTTGAGTGGATCAAACCAATTTCAATTCAATTTTCACCATTTATTTTCATGTATGTCTATTCAGAAAATATAAGATAAGCACATTGAATTTGCTTTCATTTTTTTGCATCTGATTTTAGCCATTAAGATAGGGATGTGATGCAAATGAAGAAGTACAAAACAATGAGGCAAAACCATTAACTCTGCTAAATCCTTTTATGTCATAATAAACTGGTTAATTGTTGAGATCATAATGACAAAAACAGTTAGAATCTGTTGTTAGAATTCCCGCAGCCATTGACGTCTCTTTTTGTGGGACCAATAAAGATGTGCAGTTTAACAATGTAAATCAATATATCAGTCAAGAAGTTACGAAAAAGATAAAATGATTAGTAAAGCAAGTAATTGTTTGCCACTTAATAAATCAATAAATCCAGTTTGGCACTCTAGTATTTAAGAGTTCTACTTTAATTCAAAACTGCCTTCAAAATGAGCAAGTTCCAACTGAAACACATTAGATTAGCAAAAATTTTAAAAATGTAATTAATTAAATGAAGCTGGAGGAGTTCTGTACAGAATCCAGACGGATATGATCACTGTTCCAGTTTGTTGTGGCTGAGCTCAAAGGGAATGCTTTTCATTTACTGATCAGTCTGCCTTCCATCCTTTTCTCACATGCGGCCACGTAGATCACAGATACAGAAGTTGCAGAAGTGAGCTTGCTCCGATAGGGCCCTGAGCTCACCCTTAAGGCGCGTCCACACAGGAAGTAATTCGTTCATCATGCATTGCTTTGTTGCTGACAGCTGGCTTTTAGCAGACATTCCAGGCTCCAGTCGCCTAGGTAACCCTCTAATATATTTAAAACTTTGCTATATGTCAATTAATGGTATCCTGCACTCTCACTAGCAGTCGCTTCAATCTCTTGCCTTTAAGTCATAAAAAAGTTTAACTCAGGACCTGCACACTTTGCGTCGCCAGCAATTGCTTGAAGTCCCTAAATGACTTTCCATGGTCTCTGCTAGCTGCGATATTAAAGTTATCACTTCCTCTGTGGACATCTTCAGAGATAAGCCATGGAGCTTCTCTGCATCAGAAGGATCTACTTGAGGTAGTTTGGGCACTACCAAAGTAGTGTCAATGTCCAGTCTACAACCAACCACAACACCATAAATTCACTGGCTCTGGTGTCAGAATTGGCATCGTCAGTGGTTTTGGTAAGGGCGTGTGTAAAAAATTCTGCAATGACTCAACGATGTAGCCCACAGATTGTATCTGCCAATATTTTTCCATGAAAATTATCCCATCTTTTGCTTTACTCTTCTGAACATACACCAGAGCAGGAGTGACTGTACACCAGCACTGTCAACATGTCAGGGAAAAGTAGGGAGAAGCGGCCACCCACTGAGGTGTTTCAGGCATATCCATGGTTGGATAAGCTTATAAAATTTTCAAAGAAATAAATCTAAACTACACACAGAATGTGAGCTACTTAAAAATAGCACGAGAATGCACTGGAACACCTTTAGGGACTGCTGTATGTCACAGTACCGACCAGTATTGTATTTGTCTTTATCTAATCAAGCCCTTGCTCACTCAATCTGGGGAAATTTGGTATCTCCTAGCCCCTGGAGCTGTCGCAGCTATAGGTTAGAAGTCAAGAGCAGCAAGACAAGCCCCAACAGACGCAGCAACCTGTTCCCTTCAACTGTCTGCCTCACTCAGCTGGCTCCACAAAGGCTGCAACCCACCCCACCCCCCACCCCATAAAAGCCTCTCTTTGCAGCTCCAAGCGCACCGCTTTTCCAGGCTGTCACTGTCCAACACAGGAACAGTTTTAGGGACAGATTATTAACATCAAACTCCCCTTTGAACCTGTCTTTAATATAACACAAAGCACTAAATTAAGCAGCGCTCTGATTTCTGCTTATTTTATGGAGTAATCAATGAAGTACCATTGCCTTCGTAAGGGAAATCAATCCCTGTTGACTAACAACATGCCTTCCTGTGTACAGTATACATTTTAATATGTAAAGTGTAGTAGTAAGCTTTTTCCATGTCCCTGCCAAGCGATTTAAAGTAAAATTACAGCTGGCTCAGTTATTCTAATTAATGACCTGTGCGTGAAACTTTATCATATTTTAATCTATCAAGTAAATTAAAGCCATAAATCACTCAACACCTGTGACTCCCACGCCAGCATGACATAGTGCATTGTGCAGGACAACAGACATTCAGCTTACGCCCTGAAGAAAAAAAACAAAAAACAAAAAAAACCAGACGTCTGGAATCAAAAGATCACCTATGTTAATTTCAAAGAGCTGTTGAGATCGAGAGGTCTGGAGGAGGAAAATTATCTCCTAAATGGTCATTCTACGCAA